GTTATGTAAGAACAGAAATACCATAATAATCATGTCAGCTAAGCAAAAAAATCCACTGACAAATCCAAAGGTCGAGAAAGCAACAAAGAAACTACTAGCATGGGCCCAATTCAAACCAACATAACAGAATGAATACATTCTTGAACAGGAAATGACAAGAACCTTGTGGGAAGTGGTGATGCCATTGCACAGTTTCTAATAAACAAAAAAGAGTCTTACATTTTTTGTGGAGGAAAATTCCAAGACTACTGAGAAAAAGATTTTATGTTCAAATAATCTACCTAAAGCAGAATTTCTCAACCTTAGCACCACTGACGCTTTGGGCTGGGTAATGCTGCGTATTACTTGTTGGAGGGCAGGGGCTATCCTGTGCTTTGAAGAATGTTTAGCAGCATCGCTAGCCTCAACTCACTAGATGCCAGCAGCATCTCTCAGTTGTGACAATCAAAAAAGTCTTCAGATATTGCCAAATGTCTCCTTAAGAACCTTGGCTATAAAAGGGAACATGGCTAAAGAGAGAAGGATGGATCTAAGATAATGAAGTTCTCATGATATATCATTTTCAAGGAAGGCATCTAAAGAATCACAGTAATGTAATTATACAGTCTACTCTTAAACAAATTCTAATACCAAACGCTTTTGTATAGTAACAAGTATAAAACTCAACAAAATATATGGAACTATAGTGTCTTAAACTGGGCAACAGGCAGTGCAGGACTGTGATCCCACAGAGAAGGGAGAAAAGGTGAGCGTAACAAAGCCCAGCTGACTGCCTGGAGGCCATTCCTAGACCTCAGCACAGGAAAGGGGAATGTGGAGCCCAGAGGTCTCCTTGACTTGAGACAGAGATGGGGCTCCAGGAGGGCTTGTTGTTGTTGTGTACTGTTGAGTCGATTTTCAACTCATAGCAACCCCCCATGTTACAGAGTAGAACTGCCCCATAGGGTTTTCTAGGCTGTAATCTGTATGGTCAAGAGGACTTGAAGCACTTACTGGTGAAGATCAA